GGGCTGACAGTATGTTACATCCAAAAACCTGGGATCCAACGCCACACAGTTTGAGAGTCTGAAGAGAAGCACAGTGAGCAGGAATAGCAGTAATGTTTTAATTTCATGCTGACTTCCTAATATGTGGCATATGGTTTCAACAGTATTTCAGTTATTATATTTTTTCCAAATTCTGCTATATTTAACAAGATCAAAATATGTCAGTTTTATAATTTGTCTCATTTGATAGCTACTATGAGGCGCTCACTTCTGAGGCTGGTGGTAAATCCATAAACTCTTTCCTCCGTCAAAGAATCTTTCTAGGGCCAGGGATTTAGCTCAGTGTCATTGCGCCTGCCTCACAAGTCCAAGGTTCTGAGTCTGATCCCCAGTACCAAAAAAAAAAAGTTATAAAATACAGATGCCAGATACCCAAATTATTGATATCTATTAGTGCACAGATTTAATGTGTGACAGATGAATGTGATAGATGCATATTGGTATTGGCTCATGTCTTTCTGTTTTATGTATTGGTATGAAGAGCATTTGCCAATATTTGGTGGTATTCATTTCTTCATCAAAAAGCAAAATGAACTTACAACGGAGCATATAAAACTGCTATTCAAGTTCAGTCTTGATTTGTCCATTTGGGGATTAGCCTTTCAGCCTTTGAGCCATATGTAGTTCGGTCGTTTTATCATCTACATGTAAATCATTCACATGGACATTTGTTTTGTATTCCTACCTGCATTCGTTTTTTCCTGAGAGTTGACCTGATTATTAGTCCTCTCTTATTTTATAGAACGAGATATTTACCTGCTGAGGAAGTGGAAGTGCTGCAGCGTTGGCGTAGGAGAGGTGTTAGGGGTCCACAGTCCTTTGAAATCTGTTTTGTATGGAAATGTGTACACAGTGAGGTAATAAGCTTTGGAATTCATTTTGAGATTTTTATTTAATTTGATTCTTCTTATTTCAGAGTTCGTTGCCAAATCTATATGTGTGTAAATATACCTATTCATCTGTCACACATTAAACAGACTTCCCACATAGCAAATTTTTTAAAGAGTAAAATAACTCAAAGCAGGAAGAAGCTACACTATGGAAATTTGATTTTAAGAGAACATAATTTCTGAATTGGTATAGAAGACAAGACAAAGTAGAAACAAGTGAAAAGTGACAGTTTTACTACAACTGCAAAGAGAAAGATAGATTTCTCTTTGGTTCCTTTCCACCAGCCCAGTGCCCTACTCCGTCCCAGCCCCACCTCCTCCCTGTCTTCCCCACCCTGCCTTTCTTCCATCCTCCTTTCCTGTCTCCTCCACTGACCCTGGGTTGGGTGTCCTTCTCCATAGGACAGTTCCCTCCAGTCTGCCGGTCCATCCTACCCATCCATCTGAGGTCTGCACTCACAGATCCAGTCAGATAACCCGCTTTTTCTTCTTGAAGCGGATGGAGTAAACTGTAGCACAATGCTTGGCCATTAGTGGTAGTCTGGGAAAATTTATTAAGTAAACGTGGATGCATAGGTTCATTTCTGTGTGTAGACAGAGCACCTTCATTATGTTTAATCCATGGCCTTGATCATCATGAAGTATCATCCTGAACATGCCCCTCAACGCCCTGTGTCTTTCTTCTGTTCCACCTCTGCATAGTTCTCCTATCAATGAGTTATTTGTTAATTAAGCTAATATTCATCCAGTATCTATTCTGTCAGCATCTGAAGTAGCATCGCAGAAGCCTAGGTAAAAGATGGTAGTGGCGTTGGAAGTGGACATGGTGAAAAATGGGTTCATCAGGGCTCATTTAGGAGATCAAGGCCCAAACTTGAGGAATTATGTCCAGGGAGGACAGAGGGTCATAGGTGACATCAGGAAGGCCTTCTGCCTCTCTAGCCTATCAGCTGGTTGAGGGGCAGCACTGTGTACCAAGAGGGTGTGGGTTGGCAGACACACTATGCGCTGACCATCAACAGAGTCTCCAGCGTCCCCTTCACCACTGTGCCATTGAATACTTCGACAATAACACATCAAACTCTGGCCAAGTTGATACATGTTAATTTGTGCTCTTTCATGTTAATGGACGTAGAGCATCGTCTTCTGGCTGAACCCCTGGAAGTGGATGTGTCTGTCCTTTACCTAGCATGCAATGGGCCATGGCCTCTGGGGTGACTTCCCATCTGAGGCTCTACTTCTGTCTTGGTCCAGATAAGCTTTGATAATTCTTAGCTGTTTGTGAGCTAAAACCAGGTTATCAGACTATGGATCTGTGATTACGCACCTAAGGAGGATCATCAGGATGGATGAGCAGAAAGTCACTGAGTCCCACTTGTCCTAGTTACTTCTCATTGCTGAGACACAAGACTGGATACCCACACCTCTAAGGAGGAGAGGTTTATTTCAGCTCACAGTCTGGGGGGGTTTCAGTCCATAGCCTTCTAGCTCCAAGGCAGGGTGGCCTGGCAGAGGGGCATTACAGAGAAGAAACAGTCCACGGCAGGCAGATGGGAAGCAGCGAGATACCAAGGGAGGAGGAGGGAGATGGACCCTTCCAGGCCAGCCCCAGTGACCACCACCCCCCAGTCTTCACCTCACATCACGTTTCGCTATATACTCAACTGTGGGCTAATCGACCGATGGGTATCACTCCACAATCCAGTCACCTCCGCAAAGTCCACCTATGAGTGGGCTCAAGAAGTTCCTCCTGCCTCAGTCTTCCAAGTGGATGGGACTCTCAGATGAATGCTACCATTCCTGACTTAAAAATGTCTACTCTTACTGATTGCATAAATTACCTCTCTGCTCCCTCATTATTTTGTTTCTGGATTGCAACACTACATGGTTGCTTGCATTTTCTGTTCTGGATTCTTTTTCCTTTTTGAAAGAGTATACGATTTGTATGAAGTTTGACTCTCTCCTTGGAAAACGGTTGGCCACTTATCTGCTCCATGAGAAACTTAAACAATTACCTAATGTTTATTTCTGCTTTCCAATTCTGTTGTAAGTTGCAGGTCGTGTAGGCTGTTTGGTAGTAACTATTTTAGTTAATACATGCTGATCACACTCCTCAGTCCTCACCCACTTGACCATAACTGTTGCAACTGACTGGAAATTAAGGCTGTAAATTTTCAGGTGGAACTTCAGTGTCCCTGCAATCAATACTTTGCAGATAGTGCTAACAGTTTTTTCTATGAAATATGTTGGCTGGTGAGTAGAAAATCGATGCTTGGGAATGAAAAACAGGTGTCAAGTTTGATAGGAACATCATGCATGTGATGTTTGGGGGCCAGAGGGTCCTGTCAGCCCACAGCAGTAAGGCTGTCACTTGCAGTATGCATGGAATTAATGAAAATGCCAGAAACAAAGCCGCCTGGACAGTGAGCGAGTTCTGCAAAAGAGCTCAGGGCACCGAGGCGTCTTCCTACCCGCCGTGAGCGGGTGCCTCAGCAGAAGGTGATGCGTGGAGGGAGAGGAGGCTGCTGCAGTATGTTCGTGTGGATAGGAAAAGGCAGGCCAGGGAGCCAGGCTGGCCTCTCCCTGTGCAGCAGGCTCCTTCCAGTGTCCAGCAGATGCGTGTGCTTGTGGGGAGCCATGGCGCAAGATTGCACCTGAACTGCAGAGTCGTTGAGCCAGGGTAGATCAGTGGTCTGATCGAGGCCAGGTCAGCTTGGTAAAGAATAGCCAGGCCTGGAGCCGGGGTGAGGAGAGAGCAAAGGGAAAACGAGCAAAGACAAGTGCACAGCACTGGCAGCCACGCGACTACTGGCACCTGGGTAGAAAGTGGGCTCACAGTCAGGGGCCCAGGAACTGTTCTGCAGCTCAGTCCATTCCCGTCCACAGGGAGTGGCATACCGAGAAGCCTGGACACCCTTAGCAGCGATTTGTGTTCACGGTGCTGTCTTCCTCCAAAACAGATGCAAAGTATTTCTGAGGGGTCCGAGAAATACAAAGTTACAAAGTGAAATTATGAAATTCAGCAAGTCTGGAACCACACTGCCTCCATTCGAATTCTGGCTCCTCTGATTGCAGCTGTGTAAACTTGGGCAACTCCCTAGCATCTGCCTCAGTCTCCTCATCGGTATTAACAGGTTATTGTGCGAACTGACTAAGCTGCTCAGGCAGGTCCTTGTGTCAGCGCCCACTGCACGGTTGGTGCGAGGTGCGCATTTGAACTCACTGTTGTCGTTCCCATTGCTGGTCCCTCTTCTCCCACTGCCGTTACATAAAACATAACTAAGAATATTTTATTTATAAGAGCAATAAATGCACATATCTTGGACAGAAACCTAACCGGGATATTATAATAAATGGAGGATTTCATATATTAAAAGTATCAGTTCTCTGAAGAGCAATCTATTAACGTAAATAATATCAGTTAAAACTTCTGTAAGAAGTAAATATTTTTAAAGTTTATTTGGAGGATTATAAGTGAAATTACTAAAAAAAGAAACGAAAGTGAGAGAGGATGATTTGCCTTACCATACCCCTAAACATACTATATAGTTATTTTCAGAAAAATACACTTCAGTGATAAAAATAGAAAATGTAGGCATATGAAATTTATAAAGTAGCATTCAGAATCTAGGTGAACAAAAATCAGTTGCTTAATAAATGGCTTGGGGACAGCAGGATTGTCATTTGGAAAAATGTTGTTAGATGCTTATTTAATTTTTATGAAAATACAAAGATCAATTAAGGTTTAACTGGAAGAAAAAAAATAGAACAGGTAAATGTATTTGCAGTCTTGGGCATTGAGGAACATGAGATTCTGCTCAGCATGGACTAAAACCCAGGACCATTAAAGGAAATGTGCTAGATTTGACTACTTATTACAGGGTTGATTAACACAAAAATCATCTAAAAAGAAAGACAAATGACAACCCAGAGAAAATGTTTGAAGTAAATACTGGAAGTTTAAAGAAAAAAGTAATAACATCTTCAATATATTATTCATCATGAAAAGTCAGTAAGAAAAGAAGGAATGCTATACTATAAAAACAGTCAAAGAATTGCAGTAGGCAGATATGAAAATATATTAAGATGTTTAATATTTTTAAAGTCAGTACCAGTTCTAAATAGATAACATACAGATTGAAGGGATAAATTTTGGACATATATCAAATTAGCAAGTTTTTTCTTTTAAAGAAAGTACCTATATGGGTAGATGGTAACATGGTAGTGGTTGACATAAGAAATTACTCCATATTGTGTATCTTAAACCACCAGACAATTGCTCTTTCCTAGCCCAAAGACCAGAAGTCCAAAATTAAGGCACTGTGGGGTCACTCCTCTCCTTGGAGGCCTGGGGGTGGGGGGTTCCGTCCCTGTGTCTTCAGTACTGGCAGCTAGCACTCTACTGGGCTTCTGGCCACCTCCCTGGGATCTCTGCCCCCTTTTGCGGCCTTTCCTCATCTCTGTCGCATCTGTCCTTTGGAATCAATGAGTGCACAGATGTTTGGATGTAGGGCCTACCGCAAAATCTAGCGTGTCTTCATCTCTGGATCTTTAATGACATCTACGAAGACTTTTTCCAAGTTAGGTCACGTGTACAATTTTAGGAGATGAAGATGTGTCGGGGGGGGGGGTCACCACTCACCCACACAGTCTGCCCTCTAGCCCCAAACATTGATGCCCATTCTGTGTGTGAAATACATTCACCCTACCCCAACATGCCTCAAAGTCTCAACTCCTCACATTAGGCTTAAATCTCAAGTCAACTTCATCAGTTCTTCATCGTCTTCGTTATCTGCATTACTGAAACCCTGGGCACCATTTATCCAGGGACAAAATCCCCCACCACCTGTAGACCTATGAAACCAAAAAAACAAGTTCTCTACTTCTAAAGAGGAGAAATTGGCAGTAATAAGGGAGGGGCCACAAGTCTATGGAAATTCCTCAAAGCCCTGGAAATAGAAGGTGCCCTAAGATCCAGCTATCCACTCCCAGGCATATATCCAGAAGAAATGGAGTGAGCAGATCCAAGAGCTGCCTGTGCCCATGTCTACAGAGCACCCCTCAGAGGACCTGAGATGTAGAATCCACTGTGATGTTAAGATCAGTGGTGGCGAACCTATGGCACATGTGCTACAGTGAGCTGTTTGTATCGTTGAAAGCTCTAAAAGGTTCGCCATCACTGCTACAGAGGAATGCGTGGAGGGTGAGGATATGGTGCAGCACACAGTGGAATATTGTCCAGGAACAAAACATAGAAGATGCAGCCCTCCTGTCTTTAGCAGTGTGAATGGGACTGAAGGGTATGATCTGCAGTGACGTGAGTCAGACACAGAAAGCCAAGTATCACATGGGTCACTTAGGCTTGGGAGCTGAAGAAGTGATTTCATAGAATTCGAGCATAGAATAATGGTGAGTAGAGGCTGCAGAGGGTAGCAGAGAAGAGGGATGTTGGATAATGAGTACCTAAATCCATTTAAATAAGAGGAATTAATTCTAATGTTTACAGCACAGTAGGTTGCATGGAGTTCACAACCACTTGTTATGTACCTTACATGGAACTAGGGAAGTTTCAAGTCTCCTGCCACAAAGATATAATAAATGTTTAAGGAAATGGAAATGCTAATTGCCCTCATTTGACCATCACACAATGTATAAATAATGTACACTGAATTACATTGTATCAGTACTGTGTGCCACTTACAAAAATGTAAAAAAGGAAAAGCACAGGAAAAGATATTGTGCCTTCTGTATGCCCAGAAATTAGAGCTTTCTATATGCAGTGGGCATTCTACCGGGAGAAGTACATGCTTCAGTGTAGCCCCTTAGTAGAAATTAGGAGCTCAGCTTGGAAATGAAACGAAAGTTGCCTCCTGCCCAGTGTCACCCAGCTGGAAACTGGTGCTGCCCAAGATCTTCTGATGGCTGCCTCGCTGTCCACACTCCCACATGCACCTTCCGGACCAGATGGGAGCTGCAAGGAAGGCACAGAGAGGACATGAGGCATGTTGATGAAAAACAATAGTTGCGGTACATGTCTGCTCAGAATTTAGTCTGATATCAGGAGACCAGAGAGGAAACAAGATGTTCCACCCTTAGATATGGTCTCCATCCAGAAAAATAGCCTGTAAATCAACTTTTTCAAGGAGAAAAGTAACTGTAAAAAGAGAGTACATCTAATTTTAACTATTCTTATCCACCCCACCCACCAGAAAAAGAAAGAAAAACCAGAGGGACACAAGGAAACAGACGGCGGGTGGCCTTGTGACTGATGGCAGCACACAGGGGAACACCTGCATCCAAACTCACCAAACTCTGGATGCTCAGTAGGTGCATTTTACACCTCAGCAGAGCTGTTTCAAAAAGGAAGGAATTGAGGTTGAGGGAAAATGAGGAAATGATCCACTTGGAAGGATTGTAGAGTCTTGACATGGTATATTTATTATGCTCTGATGATGCCTTGCTGAGTCTTTGAGACGCGTCCAGGTCCCTGGAAGAATGAGGTACCAAGTGAAATAACTGGTCCAGCTATTACGGAAGTACAGCACAGTCGGGGAGTTTTGGGGGGGACCAGCCCCACCCCGCAGAACTTTGAGCCAAATGGGGCCATTTCCCTGGGAGGAAGAAGGAAGACGGGGGCTGAGGACCAGGTGAGCTGGGAGCCGCAATCAGGACACCTCCGGAAGGCAGGAGGAAAATGGGTGAATTCTGTGGCACTGTTCTGACCCAAGAGACAAAACTTTCTACCCGGCTGCTCTGAGGCAGTGCAGGCTGAGGCAAAAGCAAAGTAACAGGCTGGAGATTTTTTAGAGAGATCTGTGCATCGGTGAGGGAATCGTACCCGATTCCTCCCCGATCCCTTTTTCAACACTAACCTAATTGGAACCAGGCTGTCAGGTGAAGACTTCCGTTTGCATTCAGTTTCTTCAGGGAGGGAGAGTGGAGCTCAGGGCCAAGATGGCGCATATGGAAAGTGCGCATCGTTACCCGAGCGCCTCACGCGGGACTTCTGTGGGCAGAGTGCGGTGTGGACCCTCACCTGCGGCCCACAGGTAGGACTTGTGCTCTCGACTGTTGCTTCTTCCTTCCACTGTCGCTTGAGCTCTGGTAACACCAGAGTCACTGAGATGCCTTACCTGAGCACACGTGTCATGTGGGTCCATCTAGATTGGATATGTGCTGTCCTGATGTAAAGGTTTCTGTATTTACAGATGATAATGCAGATGTTCTCTTCAGGCCTGTAGCAGCGTGACTCTAAAATACAAGAAGTTTCCTCTTTGCTGAATGTTTGTCAAACCCTAAAGTTTAAGCTTGAGGAATTTTCTCTGCCTATGATGTAGAATTATGAGCTTTTGTTTTATAAATGGTGTCATGCCTTAAGAGAGTGTTCCGTCCAGAAATGAATGATCTAGACAAAATATGGAGGCTGTGTGTAAGTGAAATATGAGGGTGAGTAACACATGGAGGATAAGGGGAAAAGTCTCATTTTTAAGGCTGTCTTCTCAGACTAGATTAAGACTTTAAGTTTGTGTGTTTTTCCTTGTAGTAGTTTTGGGTCTCTCTCACATTTAATGCCTTCATTAGATGGAATTATCACATCACCATCTCGTCTACTTAACAAAATAAATTCCTTATATCCTTGCTAATTTTCAGGCTCTCAGAAATGAACTTGTGAAGCAGTATATTTTGTGCCTCAGATAATGGCTTCTTTAGATGTTTGAAAAGTTCCCCTTTGCTTTTTAGACATGATTTTACTATTTAATTACTGAGGCAGCAAACTGTCATTTTTCTGTTGCTGATTCAACATCTGAAGTGCGAGAAAGCCTATATTTAGTTAACTGCAATTATTGAAAAATACCCATTCCCCTTGAGGTACTGAATTTCTCATTTTGAGAAATGAGTTAAATGTATATATGCATAAAAACAGTTTGAATTCTCCATCCCCTGATATAATTTCACAAATCTTCTGGGTTCTAATTCTCTGATTACATTTTATTCTCAATCTAATTCAGATTTTTAAAACATTTAAATGAGTTGATATGTTAGTCACTGTGTCAAAATGCCTGAGGTAACCAACTTAAAAGGATCTCATTGTTTCAGAAGTTTCAGTCAGTGGTTGGTTGCCCTTATTCTTTTGGGCCTCTGGTGTGGTAAAAATCAGGGCAAGTGCTCATGGCAGAGCAAAGCTTCTCACCTCAAGGAAGAGACAGGAAGGGGACGCTGGGTCCCATTACCCTTCCAAGGTCACTGTCCTAGTGACCTCACTTTCTCCCACACAATGAGAAATTCCTCACTCCCTGAAGGTTCCTGAAGGTTCCCAAGGGTTCCTGAAGGTTCCTAAGGGTTCCTGAAGGTTCCTGAGGGTTCCTGAAGGTTCCTGAAGGTTCCATAGCCTCCTAGTAGTTGGCAACCAAGCTTCTAACACAAGGGTCTGGGAGGGACATTCCAGAGCCAGACGATTGCAGTTAGATTTATTAATTCTGGCACTCTTAAAGTGAGGCCCAGTGTGAGTTGGGGTAGTGCTGTTATAATCTGAGGATCGAGAGGTAGAGACAGCTCTGGAGAGAGGCCCAGGCCCACAGGTCTGGCTGTGGTGGCAGGAGCTGCACTGTGGCGTTTTAGCTCTGATGTGCTCACATTGGTCTGATAATTTGGTTTCTTTCCTCTTGTTTACGAGTCCTCACTGGATCTTGAACATGGTTCTGTTTCTGAAACTCTTATCATGTACTGTCATGATCTATGCAGGGCTGGGGTCGTAGACCCTGCACTCCTTGTCCTCTTCCTGTCCTTAACAGGTAATACATGCCTAGCCGTTGTTCATTGTGCCACTGTGCGCTCTCCCCGTGTGCCACTGCCAGTCTTTTAGGGTAGAGAGACATGGCTGCCTGTGCCTCCCTGGACTCTGACCCTGCCCTGCGCTGTGCCCCTGGCATCCCTAGATTCACCTCTGAAAGGGATTATATCTCGGGAATTTCAGAAGGAAGTCACTTGTCACATTAATCAGATTTTCTTTGGCTTCCGCAGGAGGCAAACAGCTGAAAGAGTAGGAGAAGAAAAGAAGCCCATGTGGTTTTAAAAATAGACACTTGGTTTTTGGGTGTTTTTTGCCATCAGCTACCTCTTGAGTTTCAGCAGGTAGACATACCCTGAACCGCAGTCTGGACAGTGTTAATTGGGTTTCTGGCAGCTATTGAGTCAGCCTCTTGGTTTCTATTTTGCAAATCTTCCCCCTCCTTTAACTCTGGGGAAGTGCGAAATGACGGGAGTCACACATGGCCAGAAGCAGAACGTTTACTAGGGTGAGTTTGAGGGGTGCATTGTGGGGAAACAGACACGTGTTTGCGACATCTCCAATAGGTCTTGGTGTTAGTAAATAAATGGAAGCATTTTTAGCTTATTTTTTTGCCAGAATTATGTTAAAACCTGATTCATTTTATGATTTTGTGCAACTCAGAAGTAATTACCATATTCATAATTCTGTAAGTAGCAGATTTTTAATACCTAGATTATTAGAACCCACTAGATTTATTGTCTAGAAACCAGCCTTTGAAGTTAATGAAATGCACTTGTCAGTGTTGCTGATACACATTACATCTTGTATATTATTCTGTTTGTGTATAAACTATGCATGAGAAAATGAAACTTCCTAAGAAGTTCTGGGAACTTTTACAAATTACTGTGTTTCTCTCCTCGATTATATGATAGTTGTTCGGTTCTGCTTTCCTACTGAAATTAAAGGAAATTTTGGGCTGGGGTGTAACTCAGTGGTCAAGCAGGTATTTAAAATGCCATAGGCCCTGGGTTCCAGCCCCAGCACACACACAAAATTAGTTAATTAAAGGAAGTTTCATCTTAATTTTTATTCGTACCAAGTTTTTAATGTGATTTTAGAATCATTCCTTTCACACTTTATACCTTTGCTTAAGAATATATAGCACCCCTGCTTAGAATACTACTTAATACATTAGTATTCAAAAACATGATCGTATTTAGTATTATTTACAATGAGGTATTTGATACATGGTTAGATCCGTATTTTAAATTTTATTTATTTTTTAAATTGATAAAAATGATATTCATTTAAGGTATACGTATCTTTTGAAAGATATATACCTGGTGAGGTAGGTAATGGAGCCTACTTTTCTGACCTGAGTGATTTTCCAGTGTACAATACATTGTTTTTAGATTTAGTCACTGTGTTGTACGGTAGAGCTCTTGAAATTACTCCCATGTCTCATGGCAGATCTACATGTATTGTTTTTCAGGATAAACACTTTTTAGAGGTGGCAGATAATTTAGATAAGGTTATAGATGTTGTGTCTTGGAGAACACCTTCCGACAGCATACATACCTAGACCCTGGTCAAAAATAATAACCTGAAGATTCCAGTTAAAATACATGGGGCCAGGCATGATGTCACACATATAATCCCAACGACTCTGGAGGCTGAGGCAGGAGGATTGCTTGAGTCATGAGTTAGAGACCAACCTGGGTAATACTCCAAGACCCCATCTCAAAACAAACAAGCAAACACATTTGGGCTGGAAGTGTGGCTCAGTTGTAGAGCACTTTCGTACCATGTAGACCCTCAGCTCCATTTCTGTGATCTCAAAAAGAAAAACAAACAAAACACAATTTAAAAATCCTTTTCAAATCTATGGCAAGCCGTACCTACTGCAAAGTGATAGGCAAGTGAGGGCCCTCATTTTCTTCCTCAGCTTTACTGAAGAAGCAGCAGTGTGTGTGAGATGGAAGAAAAGAAAGCCCTGGGCATTTTCCCCATGAGCAGAGCATCAAAGCACACAGGCAGCCTGGAGACCCCCCCTGTTCTCTCCTGGGTCCACCACACCGGGCTGTGCGTCCATCCTGTCCCCACTTGGGTCAGCCTCCTCTCGAGAGACGCTGCTGTGTCTGCCTTGCTGCCTCTGTGGTGTGACCCGGTCTGAGCTTGCAGATCTCCTGGCAGCTTGGCTGAGGTTCAGCTCAGGGACCTGTGGACAGTGCATGGGTGCTGGCCAGCGTGCTTTCTTTGAATAATACGTAGTAGGAATTTCACAGTTTATTATTTTTCTGCCACTGGGGGTGGAGCTCAAGGCCTCACACATGCCAGGCAAGCATCCTACCACTGCTCCACATTCCCAGGCTTGTACTACCTGTTTTCTGTGTGGCAGCCAAGCATGAACCTTGCTGACTTGATTTGTGCCCAAGCAATTTTCCCACAAGATTGTTTTTGGGCAGGGAGTGGTCATGCAGACCTGGGTCAGCTCACCCTGCTGTTTGAATTCTGGGTGCAAGGTTGCATTGAGCTGGTAATTTTTACACTGTTATTAAAGTTATGTAGCAAGGAAACCAAAAGCTCACTTGAAATTAAAGATATAGTTCGAGGTCACTGGATTTAAAGGAACAGAATCTCAAAATACATTTGAGAACAGTGATGTATTTTCATATGAGAAACTAGAGAAAGAAGGTTGGGTCAAAACCTAAAAGTGAGTTTCATTTCATTTGTTGTCTTTTAATCTCAGGGTTTTCAGTGCTCACATCTGTGCTCTTCTCTGTCTTCTTGCCAGATGTTGAAAACAGTTAACACATAACTGCCTGGTGAGAGCTATTTCTATTTATTCCGGGCCCAAATGCACCGAGCAGTTCAGTCCCTGCATTGCAGAATTAACTTGCCCAAAATGGATATTGCATTCTACGTTCTTTGGTGCGGCCTGATTACACTTATCAGAATCTAACCATTTAGAGAAGCATTAACTCTGCTATTTAGCCGTGCAGCGTTCATTGGTGACATTTGTGTAGCACAGATGGGTTTGACTGTGCAGGCTCCTCTCGGTTCAGTCAAGGCCTGTGTCCCATTCTAGAGGTGGCTAAGCTCGATGGGATAATGGTTTTGAATCAGTGCGGTTTGTCAACAGCAATAGGCTGTGGAGACAGCAAGCAAGTCCTCCTCCATCTTCTTCAGTCTGATGTATCAAACAACAGATCCCATTTATTTTTGTACAGCATTATAAACAACTTCTGTGCCCAGGCTTTCCTGCCAAGGATGGAGCTGCTCAAATCTGGGAAGACTGACATCATGGTTTATCATTTCACCAGGTGATTTCCATGGCATCTTAGGTGCTTGCATGGGGCGGGCGGGGGGTGGGGCGAGGAAGTATTGCTCAGGTGTGGCTTGTGGAGAGGGTTCAGTAATGCCCTGAAAGCTGCTCTCCTCCAGTGCCTCAGTGCTGAATGCCCACCCACTGGACACTTGGTAGGGCTTTGAATTTAGATGCCCCATTAAAGCACAACCTGGGTTACTCTGCCCCGAAATGCACTTTGTGTAAAAAAAGCCAAGCGTATTTGTCATTTCCAGTACCCTGTGGTTGTGTTTTCTGCCTCTGGAAAGGTGACCGCGGTGCCCTGCGTTGTGGTGTCATGGCGGGTGGCCCCGGGGCTCAGCGGCAGGTGGCTGTCATTCTGTGTGGCCCTGCAGCAGAGCCCTCCCAGGAGCGGACCGGCCGTGGCAGACCCAGCCCCTCTGTTGACTGAGATGGGGGCCGTGTCCCCTGGGCGCAGTTGGGGTGCACTGCCACTGCACGGGGTGAAGTGAAAAGTATACGTCTGTGTTCTTTTATCTTTCACGTACAGCAGGACGCATGTTTCCTTCATGCACAGGCAAGAAAATCACAAAGACCTGTGCTTGTCTCTCTTTAGAACTCTCTAGAATTAGCTTGTCATGAAATGCAAGACTAATGTGCAGTTGTAAAATCTGCTGCCAGCCTTTTCCTCACTGCTGCCTGATGGCTAAGTAGATTTGGAAATGAAAGGGGTTATTATAAAGTGATTACTGAATAGCGAGGTATGTCATTTTAAACAAGCAGCTAAAATCTCTTGGTGAGACGTTCAGTCTGTAGTCTTGTTTTGTATCATTCATGTTTAAGACATGATTTTGATTGTGGAGGAGTAATCAAGCACTAGGGTAATTTAAGAAAAAAATATACTGGGTGATATTTTCTTTCATTCCTTATTAAAATACATTAGAATTTAAATGAGGCATTCTCTAATGTGTGGAACTATTAAGTACACACCAAATATAAAAACCCACAAACCACTTGGCTTTAGTTCAGAGTTAAAATTCCCGTACTTGGCTAGAAACCTATGTATCTTCTTTTAAAATTCAAGTGAAATCTGTTGTAAAATAACATACTGAAAGCAGCATCTATCAAAGAATGAGTGGCTTAAAAATTATAACTCTTAATACTGTCAGATTCATAGGACAGGGCAGCCACCTTGAAGAATCTTAAAAGAACCAACGAAAACAA